TGAGGCACTCCTCGTGAGGAGCGAACAGCATCTCCTGTGACAAAGAGGAGGGGGGAGAAAGGGAGTGTGGAGAAAGGGAGTGTGAAGAAGAGATCACATTCGCTGCTGCAGCCACGGCTGGCACGACCTTGAGGTATTCCTCGTGAGGAGCGAACAGCAACACCTGTGAAAAGGCGTACCATACAGATCACACCTCCCAGGGCGTACCATAGACATATTGATCGCGTACCAAAGCTCACATCGTACCTGCTTCTTGATGTCGCCAGCGAAGATGCTGGCCGAGGTCTCCTCGAAAAAGGTGATGAGCAGCGGCAGCTTGTCATAAGCCATGCATGCATACCACACACCTGCCAACGCGTTACATATAGTTCGGATGTGCCTAACCACACAGAATACCTGCTTCTTGATGTCCCTTACGAAGATGCTGGCTGAGGTCTCCTCTGAGAAAGTGATGAGCAGCGGCAGCTTGTTGGCTGCGATACATACAGACATACAGATTGCACCTCCCAAGGCGTACGATAGAGTTCTTGCATGCCAGACCACGCATCGTACCTGCTTCTTGATATCCCCTGCGAAGATGCTGGCCGAGGTCTCCTCAGAAAAGGTGATGAGCAGCGGCAGCTTGTTGGCTGTCACAAACGCGGCAATGGCCTCTTTGGTATACTCGCCGTCTGCACCACGATCACAGGCAAAAACCGGGGAGGGCCGCACGAGGAATGGGCGGATGCAGTGCGAATATGCCTCCACCAATGAGCTTGACGCGTGCGTGAAAGCAGGCAAAGACTTTTGAGGCGCCTCAAAAATCGGATGCAGTGCGAATATGCCTCCACCAATGAGCTGGACGCGTCCGTGAGAGCAGGGCAGCGTTAAGGATGAGAAATGAGAGAATTAGGACCATCAAACGGAGACGCAAATTCCGCACGGATCACAGCGCGATGTCAGGGTCACTAGCAGTGAGCAATACTGGTATCAATCTTGAAAACTCTCAAACGAACGGCGCTTAGAACGACAGATAAAGCGGCGTACCGAAGACGACGAATTTCTCCTCTTCCTTCTTAACACTCGCAACGGCGGGCTTCTTGTCCTTGCCAAGGCCGAACGCAGCAGCGACGTCGGCGTCAGTCGTCAGCACGAACTCCACGCCGTCCGTCTCCTTGGCTGCTTCGTTAAACGCAACAGCCTCTGGTGCCTGAGACATCCAAAACACATTTCGCATTGTCGAGAGAAAACAACTTAGTCAGCGTCACTCGTCCGCACGAACTCCACGCCGTCCGTCTCCTTGGCTGCTTCGTTAAACGCAACAGCCTCTGGTGCCTGAGACATCCAAAACACATTTCATTGTTGAGAAAAAACAACTTAGTCGGCGTCACTCGTCAGCACGAACTCCACGCCGTCAGTCTCCTTGACCGCCTCGTTATACGCAACAGCCTCAGGTGCCTGAGACATCCAAAACACATTGCATTGTTGAGAAAAAACAACTTAGTCGGCGTCACTCGTCAGCTGAGAAAAAACAACTTAGTCGGCGTCACTCGTCAGCACGAACTCCACGCCATCCGTCTCCTTGGCCGCTTCGTTAAACGCAACAGCCTCCGGAGCCTGAGAATTTACTTGTTAAACGCAATGTTTTCACAGAAACACGAAACACAAGATCACACTCAAACGGTTCAGCCTGCTAGAGAAATCGCGATTCGGGCTTACATCGGAAGAAGCGAAAAAGCCAACGGTAACCGCCGCGGAGGATTCGATGAGAGGAGCCGCTTTGGCGACGTCGGCTGCAGTGAAGGTGGCCACCCCCATGCCGATCTTCTTCTTCACCCATGAGACGATTTCAGCGCTGGAGATGGAGAGTCAGAAAGAGATAGTACAGAAAAGAGAAGTTAGAAAAAATCGTTTCCGTCTGCTGCACTGAAGGTGGCCACCCCCATGCCGATCTTCTTCTTCACCCATGAGACGATCTCAGCACTGCAGATGGGTGAAAACCGAGAGGGAGCGAGAAGGAAGCGAGAGTGATGGAAGGAAAGACAAAAAAAGGTTTTGTGTTCATTCAAAAGAGGTCATGCCGATTTTCATCTTTATCCATGAGACGATTTCAGCGCTGCAGGTGGGTGAAAACCGGGAGGGAGCGAAAGAAAGAGAAAAATTGGAGAATAAAAGGATGTAAAGAAATATTCCATGTTACGCCACACAGCGGAATTGAAAACAAGGAATGGATGGAAACATCTCGGATTCTGCGGTTCTCAGATCTTTCCCTGATCTGCAATCTGCTGCTTACCTTGTCCGTCCGCCATTGAACGGCTTCGACTCTCCGTCAGAGATGAACACAATCGTAGGGAAACCCTCCACGTTGTATTTCTCGCTAAGATCCGCATACTTGGTCGCATCCACTTTCGCCAGAACCACTCCGAACTCCTTCAAAATCGCCGCTGCGCTCTTATACTCCGGCGCGAGAGACTTGCAGTGGCCGCACCACGGCGCGTAGAATTCGACCAATACATGCTTATTGTCTTTAAGAGCTTGTGGGAAAGTCGCGTCCGTCAATGCGACAACGTCGCCGTCGTCGCCTTCCGGGATTTCGGAGTCGTCGGCTTCTAACGGCTCTTCATCTTCGCCGACCGAGTAACTCTCGTCGTCAACTTCGTGAGCTCGCGAAAGGAACGAAGATTGCTTCGCGAACGGCTGTGCGACGAGCAGCAGCGCGAGGAGGAGAAAGAGTAAGCTCCTCATGGTGTTCAGCTGTGGGATTCTGTAATCGGCTGTTAATGGCGATCAGACACCAAAGCCACACAGCCTGTAAGCTCAACGTTAATTAAATGGCCAAGGACAGTTCAGCTATGGCCGTTTTGACCTGAAATTGCTGCTTCAAGATTGCTAGACTGACTGTAATACTATCGGAAATGCAAGAATGGTTCTTCACTTGGATCATGGAACTGGTTTGTTCACAAAGGGGAGTACCATTCAGAGTCTGTTCACGCGTTGCGGTTCTGCTGGGTTCCTCACGATTCTACACAGCCGCTGCACGTCACCGCTTTGGAACGCAACGCACCAGAATGAAACTGATATCCGTGCAGAAATACGAAGATCTCGAGCATCTGGGGTGGTGGGGTGGGAGATCCCCAAGGCGGGAAACTGGAAAGATCGAAAGCTGTTCTGATTGGGTGACGAGACGCTTGTCAGGCCTGAGCGCTGTGCACAAGGGCGCCGACATTGTCATACAGTATGTCTCGCTACTGATGCTCACTTGCACAAAATAGAAAAACCATAAAATTTATTTAGAAGCAAATTTTGTGCCAATGTACCATTCAGCCACAAAACATGTATAGTTTTTAGCAAAAGCTAGCTGTGTGATTGGCACCATTTGAGCACCAAAGATATGGCTGTCCAAACATACCTGGTGGGATTTTTCACATTGCTAGATGCCCTCACAAGTTTGGCTCAATCAGTGGCGCCCATAATAGCATTTTCTATCCAGAACTAGTCTTAGTAATATCATTTAGAAGTCTATGGAGGCAGATGATCCCTGAACCTCCCCAAGAACTGCCAAAAACGAAGATACAGTACCAAGCAGGGAACACTGAGTTGTGAGTGTAGCACGCACAAGAATCTATCAACTGGCACCCACCAATTGCATACAGCAGAAAAATTGGCATACAGTTTGTCTGAATAAATGAAGCGCTGCATTTTGGCGCACCTGACGCATGTACGGTTGATCCAGCAGCCATCCCAGCACAGGAATCCGTTGCACGAAAACGAGAAGAGTGGGAAGAAAGCCGCTGCCAGGCGATAGACCAAGAGGAAGAGTAAGAAGAAGGAAGAGTAAGGATTAGGAAGAGCAGGAGGAAGCGGAAGAGGAAGAAGAGGAGGAAGAGCAGGAGCAGGAACAAGAGCAGGAGAAGCAGGGGCAAGAGAAAGAAGAAGCAGGACCCGTAGGTCCAAGGAGAGAGAGCACGTGTTGGGAGGATACGAGTTTGGAGTCATATGCTTGAATGGCCATGCCAACTATCATTTACGTTCTGAGTCGCCTCGAAGTAGACTTAAAATCCATGCCTACCTGAGAGAAAGAGCAAAGCCATATGCTTGGACGGCCATGCCAACTATCATCTGGGTGTACTCTGAGTTGACACAGAATACACCTAAAATCCATGCCTACCTGAAAAGTAGTAGGACGAAGCCGTGTGCTTGGGTGGCCATGTCAATATCATCCAGTTTCACTGTGAGTCGACACAGACTACGCCTTTGATTCCATGCCTACCTGAAGAGTAGAACGAAGCCATATGCTTGGATGGCCATGCCAACAATTGTCCAGCCAATCACAACAAGAACCAACCCCGAGAGGAAAAACGCCGAGCCCTGTTGCAGGAGATTAGGGAGAACATGAGACATCACTGATTGAAGCCACGTGCTCCAACTGCATGCCTATCATAGTCCGGCCTACACAACAATAGCCATGTTCAATCATAGTCCGGCCTACACAACAATAGCGATGTTCAATCATAGTCCGGCCTACACAACAATAGCCATGTTCAATCATAGTCCGGCCTACCAGCACAAGAACCAACCCCAAGAGGACAAACGGTGGGTAGAAGCTGGTTGGTGCAATATCATTGTACCGTGGGGAGGGGAGGTCATGGTGGGCTGAGGTAGAGACAAAGGTGGAGCATGATAGCCGGGTGTACGCCGGTTGGCGAGATGCATGCAATGCAACATCGAGCAGGGCATTCATGTAATGTGTGGACATTGGAAGAAGGGAGATGATAATGGGAGGGAAGAGGTAACGGGAGGGAAGAGGTAACAGGAGGGAAAGGACAATGGGAGGAAGGAGAGAACGGGAGAGGGAGACAACGAGGAGCTCTAGAGGATCGCAACAAAGCCTGGTCCGTCACACCATGGAAGGCGAGTCCTTGTTAAGAAACCAGGGCCAAGCGCGTGTGAGGATTTTGAGGGCAAAATTGCCGTTCTCACTCAAAAGGTCGATGCTGGTGCAGAGACCAAGAGGGTGCGGTTCAGAGGGAGACAGAGGGCACACAGAGGGAGGCAGACGTCACACAGAGGGAGGCAGACGGCACACAGAGGGAGGCAGACGGCACAAAGAGGGAGGCAGACGTCACACAGAGGGAGGCAGACGTCACACAGAGGGAGGCAGACGTCACGCAGAGGGAGGCAGACAGCACGCAGAGGGAGGCAGACGGCACGCAGAGGGAGGCAGACGTCACGCAGAGGGAGGCAGACGTCACGCAGAGGGAGGCAGACGTCACGCAGAGGGAGGCAGATGGCACACAGAGGGAGGCAGACGTCACGCAGAGGGAGGCAGACGTCACACAGAGGGAGGCAGACGTCACGCAGAGGGAGGCAGATGGCACACAGAGGGAGGCAGACGTCACGCAGAGGGAGGCAGACGGCACACAGAGGGAGGCAGACGTCACACAGAGGGAGGCAGACGTCACGCAGAGGGAGGCAGATGGCACGCAGAGGGAGGCAGACGGCACACAGAGGGAGGCAGACGTCACGCAGAGGGAGGCAGACGTCACGCAGAGGGAGGCAGACGTCACGCAGAGGGAGGCAGATGGCACACAGAGGGAGGCAGACGTCACGCAGAGGGAGGCAGACGTCACACAGAGGGAGGCAGACGTCACGCAGAGGGAGGCAGACGTCACACAGAGGGAAGCAGACGGCACACAGAGGGAGGCAGACGTCACACAGAGGGAGGCAGACGTCACACAGAGGGAGGCAGACGTCACGCAGAGGGAGGCAGATGGCACGCAGAGGGAGGCAGACGGCACACAGAGGGAGGCAGACGTCACGCAGAGGGAGGCAGACGTCACGCAGAGGGAGGCAGACGTCACGCAGAGGGAGGCAGATGACACACAGAGGGAGGCAGACGTCACACAGAGGGAGGCAGACGTCACGCAGAGGGAGGCAGATGGCACACAGAGGGAGGCAGACGAATCCCACCTTTCTGTTTCTTCGCCTAGTGAAGAAGGAGATGGTGGATTGCAGACCGATTGTGAGCGTCACACCCGCGAGAAACAAGATCTGCCACACCCAGTTGGGTGAAACAAAAGTTTAGGGTACAAAATGAGCAAACCTGCTCACAGAGCAGGATGGTTCGCTTTACTCTGGTTATCATTCATGAAACTGATCAAAAAGCCACTTTGTGGAAACAACACAAGTTTGTGTGAAAACTTTTCAAGAACATGATCACTTTACTCACAAAAAAAAAAAAAAACACGACTCCCATGCAGTACTCACATTTCCGAAGCTATTGCCCTTTTATTTGAGAAGTGATTCCGAGGCTTCACACTAGCAGAAACCTCTAATTTTTTTCATAAAACAATCGCGTTTCCCAAGATGTACACACATTCCCCATGGCTAGCAGCCCTTTATCAAAGAAGAAGACGACTCCGGAAAACGAGAAGAGCACGCCAAACGCGGTCAACCCAATCCCGATCCCTGCACCCCCCCCTCAACCCCCCCCCCCTCCCCAAAAAAAGGGTTCCCCATGCCGACTCACATTCCCCATGGCTAGCAGCCCTTTATCAAAGAAGAAGACGACTCCGAGAAACGAGAAGAGCACGCCAAACGCAGTCAGCCCAATGCCGATCTCTGCACGACGCGCAACCAAAGAATCGAGAGAATTTAAAGAGTCAGGGATACCAGGGATACCGAAGCGCCTTCTCCCTACGGGGGGTTGGTTACCTCCGGGGATCTCCTTAAAGCCCAAAAAAAAAAAAGAAAAAAAAAGGGATACCAGGAGAGTCCAGAGAAACCAAAAGAGCCGAGAGATACCAAAAGATACAGCGCAGGAAAAAAAGGAATCCAATTCGGGTCGGGGAAGAGTCAAGAATCCGACGACTTGAAGATGGGTCAAAGGAAGTGAGTCGCATTTCGGCAAACACTAATGACACGAGACGGAAATGAGCACAATGTTTCAGAAACAGAATCAGAGTGCAGAAACAGTGCGCGATCAGATGAGATATAGATGCACGGCCAGCGCAATTCAAAGCATCCTATGCGACAAGCGAACTCGGAATCGGCAGGTAACACCAAGTCGCACAGATCCAGGGGTAAGCGAAAAGAAACGTACTCTTCATATCGGTCATCTCGAGTGAAGCCATTGTGTCGCTGAGTCTAATTCGATTGTCGCAAAGCCCAATTCGATTTATGTCGCAGAATTGAGTCAAAAGATCCGTCCCTGAAAAGCTCAAACTTGATCCCCTTTCTCTCTATGACGAAGTGAATCAATCAGCTGGTAAGGGTTCCCGCCAATCCAAGAACTAGTAGAATCGGATCCTTCCCCGGCGCAGTTTCGCCGATCCCCAACGCGAGAATGCAACAAATAGAACAGAGACTGAACTATGTAACCCTAATCAACGACTACAACTTCTCGGTGTCATGAGAGCATAAACGCGCGGTCCCGTCTACGCACGCTGTCTCCTCGTTGCTTGCCTACAAGGTTATACGCAATGTCGAGTGGAATCGAGGTTGGATCGAGTGGGCAAGACGCAATGCTGAAAAAACCAGCTGGAGGCCGAGAAAGTGTGGAGTGAAATAATCAGAGCATGTAACTCGTACGGATTATATTATTTCCTCATTGGCTAGGTGATCTGTTCTGCTCCGCACTCTCGAGAAACCGAAAGAAACCGAAGGTGTTGGAAAACTAGGACTGCACGGTATTCCCTAGACTAGGATCAGCTGAAGTTAGAAAATAGCCTCGTGCCACTCCATCAAAGTCAGCGCGCGGAATCACATAAGTCTTTTACGTTTTGAGGCTCTGTGCAACGAGGAGCTGAAACTCCGTCAAAAGACTGCGGCTATTCCGAAGTTGGGGGACACCATCCGAAGTACTCCCACACGACTCGAAATGTTGACGTGTCATTTCAATGTTGCCCCACGCGGTTCGAAGTCTGGACACCACGGAACATACCGGTCAGATGACGTGCGAATGATGCACAGGTCAAAATGCGACCTGGATGATCGGGGAATGTTGGGCTTCAATCCAGTGACTTCAACTTACAATTATGACCGTCACGAATTCTTTGCAAAATCTGCCCACGGCAACCAATGAGCCGGCGGTGAATGTTCTTCGCATGCTGTTTGAGTAGATTTCGCTGTCTACTGTTTCCGCGCTCTGATTGGGCACGAAACCAGTCTGAACCAACAACCGTCAGGCGATTCTGACGAACCCGGTCGCACGCCAAAAATTAGTCGCATGTCAAAACTGGGGCCACACCCCACATCGACACCATCAACCCCCAAAAAGTGCTTGCGGTGGGGGAACTTCGATGGTGTCCCAACTTCGGAATACAATCTGACTCTGTCCTAAACGCGCATTCTGTAATGTGAGTCTAACTAGTACATTTACAAATCAAATTTAGTGGCTCAGGATGGATCACCATGACACAAACAAAAAGACCGCGAAGGATATAAATGAAAAAAAAATACACATGAAATACTTTCTCCAATAACTTTTCCATATTATATCTTGTGAATGAGTAATTTAAAACTTTAATTTGGAGAACATCCATGTAAGCTGCCTTGCGAAGACAATAGTTACTGCATAGCAGTCACCTGGTTGATTCAGAAAAGTTTTATATGTGGCTTCAGGAACAGCTTCATAACAGTTACTTCAGGCACTTCTGCTTAATTCGCCAACTAGCCAGTTTCACCCAACGGAACATTTGGGCCGACCATGGTTTTTCATTGGTTGGCGCCGTTGCCCGCCTGCCCGTAGAATGCGCTTGACCCATTTTTGCAGCAGATCAGTGGCGATCCGCGGCCCTCACTCAATCTTTTGTGCCCAACGTGCTCACTCCGCAGCGACACCGACGTTCCCGCTTGCAGACGAACCGAACCGCGATGGCGCCAATTCTCGCAGGCGAAAATTCGCCAGTCCGCGACACCCGCTCGGCAAATTCTTTGGACCTTCTCTCGCAACCCCAGCTGCCGCAGGAACCCATCCCGGATTCCGACATTCTTCATCGATACAAATTTGGAGCTGTCAACCCCTCAAGCTCACCATTCACCTCTCGTCCTTCCTCGCTTCTCACTTCCAAAGCACACAGCTTGATAGCTCTTGTGCCGCTCCAGCTCGTTTTCTCTTCTCTCTCCCGGTCCGTTCGGATTCATTCAGACCTCCAGTCAAATTCGCAAGATCTGTCAGCGTTGGCAATCAGTGAATCCTTCGTCCCGGAACCATGGCCGTTTCTCGATCCACTCTGCTGCTCGTTGCTCTCGTGGGCTTGGCCGTTGTCTGCTCGGCTCAATCACCCGCACCCAAAACAACAACTTCGCCCAAGACAACTCCTGGGAAGAGCGCGGGGGCGCCTCCCGCACCGACCGGGCCGCTGACGCCATTCGACGAGGCCATTCAGAAGCTCAACAAATCCGGATTCACCAGCTTCGTTTCCCTCGTCAACGCATACGGTACGAACCCCGGAACACCTCGACGGATCGCGGCGAGCTACGAGCTTCTTGGCTAAATCAGAGACTTTAGACTACGTTCTTTCTTATTTATTCTTGATCCTTGGCGTCTCATTGCGTCACACAATACCTCCAGACAAGGTTCATTCTCCCTTCCTCGTCGCTCGAATCGCCCTCGCCCCGTCTTTATCCCACCCGCGCGTCTCTTCCTCCTCGCAGGCAAGATGAAGGAGGTCAAAGCGGCTCTCTCGAAGCCTCTCACCATGCTGGTTCCGTCGAATGCGGCGATCGGCAAGCTCAAGATCACCAGTTACAAGTCGACCGAGCTCATGGTGATCGTCGGATTCTCCGCCTTCAAGAAGGTGATTCCCGCCGATGCGCTCAAGACCCTGCCCGTGGGCAGCAACATCACGACTCTCGCGAGCACCAAGGCGGGGAAGCCAATGACGCTGCAGAAGCAGGCGAACAACAAGAAGGGGCAGGTGGTGCTGCAGGGAAAGAAGGGCAGCACCATGGCCATCACCAAGCTCAACTTCTACCTCAAGCCTGGCATGCTCGTCGTTCACACCACGGACGCCGTCGCCTTCCCCACCACGCTCCAGGGCAAGGTCCTGTAAAAAGGCAACTGACGGAAAAGCAGCAACAGTGGCGCACCAACAAGGAAGTTAGCTAATAAATGAGGCATGCGAATCGGTAACGACTTAGTTGCTCATTCAGAGTTAGCTGTTAGGATAGGACTACGCATTGAGATTACTGCGTCCTGTCCATGTGATTTATACGGTTCGTGAATCAGCGCAAATTACCAAATGTCTTTCCGCATGTGCCAATCAAAAGCGCACAACGAACTGGGGGACTTAGCGGGGATGACAGCGGGAGTACTGTTTGCTACGAGTGAGAACTCTTGTAGACATTGGTCATGATCTACACCCTCCCCATGAGGTGATCGCAAACGTCCTTCCTATCTTTCAGTGACATATTTTCCACTATCTTTGCTCGCCATGATTTCTTTTGCACCTACTGAATGTGACGAACGCTTAGTGCAAAATTTATGCGCTTAGTGCAAAATTTATGATAATGTTTCAAGTCATGAGAAATCCGTGTTCAAAGTCACATGAAACTCGTTAGACTGCTTGTTAGGCTGGAGCATTACAAGCCAAGCATTACAGACTCGTTTGTTTCAGACTCATATGATCGACAAATAAATGCACATATTCGCCATTCGCTAGTTTGACCAAGATGAGCTATCAATTATTAGCGCCACCAAGAGCTTGAAACACGTAGCTTTCTGCACCCTACAAGAGTCTCAGAAATTCTTATCCGACTACCAGATTTCTGGCTCCCTAATATCATGGTCGCGTCACTTCATTCCAGCGGGAAACACAATTGCGTCCGTCGTGTGCACGGCCAGCTTTCCCACTTTTAGGTAAAAGTCGCCCTTAGTGATCATCAGCTTGCTCCCGCGCTTGCCCTGCATCGCCACCCAACGCGCCTTGGGCGGGGAGAGCTTCGTGAGCATCAGCGTCTTCTTGGACTTGAGGTCCGTGGAGAGCGTCGCGAGCGTCGCATTCTTCGCGAGGCTTCGCAGCTTCTGGAAGGGCATGACGCCTTTGATGGCGTTGAACATGACGAGCGTGGAGAGCTGCGCTGTAGAGTAGCTCGTTATCTTGACCTTGGCGATGGCCGCGTTGCTGGGGACGAGCATGGTGAGCGGCTTGGAAAGAGCCGCCTTGACCTGCTTCATCTTGCCTGCGATGGGGACGGGAGGGACGGAAAGGAACGGAGCAGGTGAGAAGATTCATATAAGTCAGAGAGAAATGCGGCTAAATAAGTTGCACAGCGCAGAAAGCGGTGAAACCAATCAATGAAGCAAAACAGGAGTGAGAACGGGAGAGAAGCTTGGAGGTTGAATGCATCACGCGAAAGCTGGTGTGGGACGAAAGTAGCAGGGGCACACCATAAGCGCTGACGAGGGAGACGAAGCTGGTGTAACCCGAGTTGTTCAGCTTCTGAACGGCCTCGTCAAACGGCGAGAGAGGCATGGGCGATAGAGCACAGGCGAAAGTCGCACATCCAGCGAGAACGACGAAGATCAGGGTTGAGCGGGCGATAGGAGTTGCCATGGTGCAGAAAGTAAGCGCAATGTCAGTAACAGAATGTGGGAATGCGTCGCAGCTGACAACACTTCCAGTTCGGATTGGCGATGAGAATGGATCTGACGTCTGGCGAATTTATGCTTGGGAACCTAATGCTGCGACGCGTGCGACTGCGCAGCCGACAAAATTCGAGCGTTACTGTACCATCCTTGCAGTTTGAGCCGACACAAGCAGTGTCTGAACGACGTCGTTCACACTTTCGGCTGCTCCGACCAGAGGTCGGCGACATTGTAACGACTGTTTCGAAGTCGCTCATCGCAGATGGTTTGGTCGCACCTGCGTCGGCTGTCCCGTAGAATAACAACACCGCTAAAACGAGGGCAGAATGTACAAAACAAATGAGTTGAATATATACTTCATATGCGGAGAGTGTGGACAAACACTGTCTATCAAGTGAACAGGGTTGTGGTCATGAAGGCAAGTGTTTTACCCGTCAGACCCTGGATAGAAGCGCCCCTGGGGATGTAAAAAAGCACTGTTTTTTAGGGGTTGCGCTTATATTTGAGGATTTTTATAAG